ATCATTACAGTTTGTACAGATGTGTATGTATGGTATGATCTAACTATGGGCAGTAGAACAATTCACTTGAGTGCACTACTCAATAAGTATATTACATACTGTAATATTTGTTTGCTGAAAAATACATTGTGTCAGAGAGATTAAACTCAAAACTTGTTTTCAGAACCATATTTATTTGTGTATTGTATGTAAACTTTGTCAAGTGTGCTACTTTAAATGTAAATACCATAATAACAAGTATGATTTGAATGTTTTCTAACATCAGACATTGGCAAGAGTTGTGGAGGGTTGGAAGAAACATGAATCCGAAAAAAGTATGTTTATGGAGAAACTTAAAGAAGAAAGAGAATCTGTTGAGAAAACAAATAACAAACAACAAACGGTATGTTGTCTCTTAGGTCTTTCCAGTGTTTTGAAAATTGCAGGCAAAAGCTGTTATTTCATTAACAATTTCTAAAGTTGATACTGATTATGGTGAGTAAAAGGAAAGTTGAAACAGAGCAAAGTTCAGTTTTTGTACTGCCTGTGTGTCCTGTTCTTGAATATCACAGTCAAATTATTTGTTGGCTAAACAGAAAACACCTATTTATCAAAATATACCAGAATATTATGAAAAACATGTTATAATATGATTACATATCAGTAATAAGCAAATAATTTTGAAAGTCTGTCTTTCAGGAGATGTGTAGTTGTTTTAAACGTTTTATTTTATCTCTCTGATTTATTTTTCAGATGCTGAGAAAGTTAGAAACAGAGCTAGCCCAGGCTGTAGAACAGCTTGCTAAGGAACAGTTAAGAGCTACAAAAGCTGAGTCTGAGAAAGACAGACATGTACAGTATAGAGTTCTTACCATATCTAAATCTACATACATGTACAGTATAGAGTTCTTACCATATCTAAATCTACATACATGTACAGTATAGAGTTCTTACCATATCTAAATCCACATACATGTACAGTATAGAGTTCTTACCATATCTAAATCCACATACATGTACAGTATAGAGTTCTTACCATATCTAAATCTACATACGTGTACAGTATAGAGTTCTTACCATATCTAAATTTACATACATGCACAGTATAGAGTTCTTACCATATCTAAATCTACATACATTGTACATGTACAGTATAGAGTTCTTACCATATCTAAATCCACATACATGTACAGTATAGAGTTCGTACCATATCTAAATTCACATACATGTACAGTATAGAGTTCTTACCATATTAAATCTACATACATGTACAGTATAGAGTTCTTACCATCTAAATCTACATACATGTACAGTATAAGTTCTTACCATATCTAAATCTACATACATGTACAGTATAGAGTTCTTACCATATCTAAATCTTACATACATGTACAGTATAGAGTTCTCACCATATCTAAATCTACATACATGTACAGTATAGAGTTCTTACCATATCTAAATCTACATACATGTACAGTATA